CGGCATCGGTGCGATCCCGAAGTGATCCAGTACCGACCTGATGAAAGGATGGAAGGGAATCATCCCTCCACCCTTGAAGATCTCTTCGGAGATCGCAGCAAGGCCATCTGAAGGATGCCGTGACGACCGGGTGTGGTTGAGGAACACCTCTACGCGGACGTCAAACTGCTTTTTTATCCTATTGAACTCTTCTTGGGTGAGAACCGAGAAGACATCAAGGGACGCGTCCTCGGGAACATCCCGCGAGGATGAGCTGGCCGCTTCCTCGGGTTTGGACGTCGACGGTTCCATTCCAGTCTGTAACACCGACAAACAGGTCATTTTAGCCATCGCATATCCCGCACGGCGGCATGGGACAAATCCCTTAAACCCTAACAGTAACTCGAGCCGCCATCCACGGCTCGAATCCAACGATGGCGTCGCGTCTCTGGTGAAACACCGGGAGACCCAACGCCATTGCCCACCAACCAAACACAAAGGAGGAAGAAGAAAGATCTTACCTTCTGGGACGCGCGACCAAGGCCGAATCTTGTTTCAGATATCTGAGAGACGCCAATCGGAAAACAAGAACTCTCGGTTTGCAAAGGCTTGTCACTCGAGGCAAAAGGAATTTTGGTGGCGTCATCTGAAAAATGTGAGCTTTTATATGGACTGCAAATCGATGGTTACCACCTCTCGGAACCGAAACGACAGCTTTCTCTCTCTCCCCGCATTAAATGCGCCCCACATCGCATTAAATGCCGTGATAAGGGCCGTCGTTTCAAATGCGTCGTATAATTAATGCTGTCAAAACGACGCCGGGTCAGCACACAACGCCTTTAATGAGCCTACCAGATGCTTTAACGCGTGCAGAGTGCCTGACAGCACAGAACCAGGTTCATTGAATCTCCAACCCTAAGGCACGGAAAGGAACGCCCGACGAATCCAGGTCGCTAGGATGAAGATTGTCAGGTCGTTTAGGCAAAGAATTGTGCGAGGTCGTGTTCGCCAAGGGCCCTGTCCCGAGCTTCTCCCATTCAGGTCGAAGCGACCAGAACCTCCAATCGCGGCATGACTTAGTTTCCAAGGTTTGATCCTCAAACCTTAAAAACTAGGGGACTTCTGTTATGCCTGGAAAATCAAGGGCTGACGTGGAGTCACGTGATAAAGCGTGACCTGCTCCCGTCAGAGTGGTAAGTGCATGTCAGGCCTGCCAAGCGCCGTGGGACTCCCACGTGTCCGTTTCCCTGCTCCAAATCGCGTGAAATCAGCTTGGAAAATGGGCAATGAGACGTAAAGCCGGATTATGTCCTGAGAATCACACCAACCCAAGGATTTAATGATGATTACATGCATTCAACTGGGTATAAAAAGAGGAAAACCCCTTCATTAAGGGGATTCGGCCATTCTTACACTTGAACTCTCTCTCTCTTGTAAACTGCATATTTACTTTCTCAATCATTTGTAAGTCGGTTCGCTTTTGCGACCTGACCCACAATATCAATATAAATCAGTGGACGTAGGACTTGCTACCTTAGCATCCGAACCACTTTAAAAGCTCTTATTGCATTTATTTCGTATTCTCTATCCATAATCACGTGTGCTTCTTGACCAATCAACGTTGCACACGTGTCGTTTAGTTGGTGTTAGAATCAAGCATCAACAGATATTAAATTAGAATGGAAAACTATGGGAAGCAATAAAGCTACGGACATCGGGGTTTTTGCACTAAAAATTTGTATCGGCCTATGTGTTCTCCTGACTCACACCAACAATCCAGACGCTTGGTTAAACAATAAATATTTTTCTAGTGAACGGTCGTCCATTAAATATAGACAGCTGTTCACTTACATAGACTCCTGTCCATATTATATGGATGAGGTCCATTTACTACGGCCGTTAGTCCAAATTTTTTCTTTAGTTTTGTAAAACCAAAATAAAGTAAGGGACGTCCAATATTTAGGTACAACTGTCCATAACATATGAATGGCCGTCCTTAATTTTTATAAAAATTTTTATTCCATTTTACTTATGGACGGGTGTCATTTAAATGGGGACGTCCGACCGTAGTAAATGGACCCCGTCCATATAATATGGACGGAAGTCCATGTATGGACGGCTGTTCACTAGAAAAATATTTATTGTTTAATCACGCATCTGGATTACTGGTGTGAGTTAGAGAAAACGTAAGCCGGTACATATTTTCGGTGCAAATACCCCGGCGTCTTAAGCTTTATTGCTATGGGAAGTAATGGTTGAAACAAAATGAGGTTAAAGAAAGTTACACTCACACAGTGCGTTCAATCTTAATTAGAAAAACCATTTCCCTTTACAACTTTCTGGAAAAATTTTAATAGAAGAGTTTGCCAAACAACTCGTGTGGTGTGGCACAAAGAACAGTTTGAATAAGTCTGAAGAACAGAAACCCATAAGCTTTGTAAATTTTTGAAGAACACGAGCGACCTCAAGAAGAATTACTGGGAATTCATCTTTTCTGGAAGTGAAAAACTTAATTGAAGATTTGTTGACAGAATATGATAGAACCTGTCCTGCAAAAACACCAGCAATACCACAGAATATACCACAACACACAACCAGTCACTCACAATCAACAATAAAATGCCCAATTCTATTAATATCTGCACAGAACACTACAACTAGAACAATACTTCCAGTAGCCTTGCTCTATCAGTACTCACTAAGCAAATGTACTAAATAAACACAGAAAGTGCAATAAAAGAAATGGTACTAAGGCTGACTTCGAGGGTCAGTCACCTCCCAGAATACTGACTTCGAGGGTCAGCTGCCTCCCTGCCAAATTAACAATTTTCTGCTTGATTCCTCTTTNAAAAAAAAAAAAAAAAAAAAGGTGTTATTAGTCTTTTACATAATTCATATATGAGCATTTAAGGAATATTGTAATGCTGTAACCAATTTGGGGGGATTTTGATGTATTTCAGAAACAACTGAGTGCAGCTTGCTTAAAATCGTCAAAGTTTCACCCGAATTGACTGTCCGAAACTATTGGGTGGGTTTTTGATTTTTTCTCGTTTTGGTATTACTTGTAATATAATATATCCAATTACAAATCTTCTTCATCAGTTAAACTATCTATTTTGTTCTAAAAATGATTTAAATAACATAAAAGAAAAAATTAGTGTTTATGAGATAATAGTGAGGTGTCAAAAAGTATTTATTAAGAATATAAAATCAAAGTTAATTTTAGTAATTTAATATACGAATAAATTTGTCATTATAAAATTTATTAAAAAGAATGATTTCTTTAGTCTGACACTAGCGAGGTGTCAATAGATCCACTCTAAAATGTAGTCATAAACCTAGAACATGGCTAGTTAACTATCCACAGTTAAGGCCATATAAATTCTCCAGTGTAAGCCAAGGCTTAGATATGTTTAATCACTTAAAAATTTTACCAACATTTTATTTCAATCACTAAAATATATATATATATAAATTCAATTTTTTGTTCAAACATTTTGCCCTAGAAGGGAGGCCCAATTTAATCATAGGGAATATTCTTTTAGTTTAAGCACTTTCTGAGTTTTCCCCTTTGTTTTTTAAGCCCAAGTAAAACACGCCAACCTAGCAAACAACCCATTTTCAAATAGAGCAACACAAATTAATCCTACCAACAACCTATTTTTTTAGACCAAATCAATAGATCCATCCATTTTCAAACAAGAAACAGGAAAAAATGAAATCCATGACCACCACAACGTGGTACCCAACACAACGTGTCAAGCCTGCCTAGTGCAGGCAAAAAGTTTCTTCAAAATAATAAGCAAAAACAATTACATTTTTTAAACCCATTACCAGCACCTTACCAGGGGTTTAATTGGTGACAGAAGTAACTAACCCTGACAGAAGTAAAAAATAACGAAAAGGGCCAAGCCCGCACTCACAAACAAGGCCCAATTGGGTGGATTTGTACGAGTTGTCGCGTGTACGCACCCGGTCAATTGGTTTCCAGGTCAATTTCTTGATTTTGGCTTGGGTTATGAAGCCTCGTGCGCATGGGAGCCTTCTTTCTTTAGTTCACTCTCCTTTATAAAGAGCCTAGGAAAGAGTTATCTATCTGAAGTGAGATTGGGTATTTTAATTTTTTTAAAAAATAGAGATAAGCTGACAAACTTCTCACAAACATTGACGTGGCTGATTGCAATTAATTAACTCGTATTTGGGTAGACGAGATCTATTGTTGAGCAAACGAGACCCATTATAAGTTGACTAATCACAAATTAGCATGTGCGTTTATGAGAAAAAATTAATAAGAAAAGTTTGTGGGTATAGTATTATTGTTTTTAAAATACCCTCACAACAACTCTTATAACAAGAACTAGAACATGAAGTTTTATTGGGGGATTGGATGGGAAAGAGTAAGGAAGGTTCCTATGTGCTGACTTTAATAAACATTTTTTTATTAAATTTGGATCAAATTCGAATATCCGAAAAAATGGATCAGCCAAAATCCGAATCAAAGTTTATCCCGATCCGAATATTCGGATCGGATTAGAAAACTCTCCATCTAGATCGGATATCCGGTTTTGCACACCCCTACAAAAAACACAGGTGGTACTCTTCCAAAACTTATAATATAAAAATGCACAAAAGAAACATTGAACCAATACAAAAACATATCAACATTCCTTTCTTCCTCCTGCAGTCCTGCTATTAAGATCTAATCCTTGGAATTCTATTTTAGTTTTGGGGGTGTTTGACAGAAATCCAAACCTCAGGTGAAGTAAAGGGTAATAGCACTAAATATTAAATGAATGGGACCCTAATTTATCGGGTTTGGATGGGTATGTAAACTCAGTTCTCCAGTTTGCTGCCGACCCTTGACCACCATCAATAACTTGTCATTTCATTTTTGTTTGATAAATCTTCCTCTTTTTGAGCAATTCTCACTTGCCTTAAATCTCTTACTACTTGCATCAATAGCTGTTATATTCAAAAGAAACCTCATGATGCTTGCTAGCTAGCCACAACAACAGCATTCCTTACAGGGCAGTCCATTCATATTGTGCTTCCTTTATTATAAATGTATGATTTTGCAAAATACAAGTAGACTACAAATTCTATAACACTCAGTCCAGCGAGAAGCCAATAGAAGTAATCAAGATGTGCCTTGTTGAGATTATTAGAAAACCAGCTTTCATGGCCATTTCCACCAGTTGCTTTCTCAATGGCAGATATTAGAAAGCTGCTAAGAAAGCTCCCAACACCGAAGATACTGAGGTATAGTGAGAGACCTACACTCCTTAATTCAGATGGGACTTGATCATAGAAAAATTCTTGAAGACCTACCATGGTGAAAGCATCAGCAACACCAAACAAGATATATTGAGGAATCAACCAGCACACACTCATTGGAATTGTCACATTTGGCTTGTCAATCAGTCCATATTCTTCAGCAGTTTTAAGTCTCTTCATCTCAACTAAAGCTGCAATCACCACGACCAAAAACAGATAAAAACATACAGTTCCAATTCTTTGAAGCATTGTAATGCCAGCAGGTTTCCCGGTAAAGGTTCTTGCAATTGGAACAAAAACACGGTCATAGATTGGAATGGAGAAAAATGGCAAGGCTGATGAAGGATTGAAGTGAAGCAGCTGGTACGTAAAGCTTGGTGCAATTGATCTGTCCATTGTAACTCCTTGCTTTGTAAAGAAAGTTGAAGATTGAGCAAACACGATTGCATACACCAAGCTTGTAACCCATATTGGAACAAGCCTGAGAAATGCTTTTGCTTCTTCAACTTCACTGATGCCACACAACTTCCCATATTCCTTTGAACCATCTGGTGAAGCAAGGCTTTGTTGAGAAACCTGCAAGATTTTTGTGCGATAAATTGATTGCATAAAATGTTCTAAAACAATGGATTAAAAATTTAGAACCACCAGAAAGAAGCAAGAGTCGTGGAAACAAATAAAGAACAGAGTACTTCTCCACTAATAAGAGATCTCTTTATGGTGGCATCAGTAATATATGGGTACAAGTTTCATGGTATTGATGAGTAAATGTTTCTCTGATGGTAAGCAGAAAATGAAATTTCACAGCACCATAAATATATAATTATATATAACATGTCAATGCCATAACAAAACAAAACAAAGTGATTAGTTTTACGTGATAATTTGATCCTTGAAGAATAAATATTCATTTATTTCAAGTTACTTTGCAGGATAAGTTGATGTTGTGCATGAACAGATCTTATTAAATTTTCAGACATCAAATCTCTTCAGAGAAAACTAACTTGATGTTTGTGGCCTTTATTGCTTTTAAATCTCGAATGATTTAAATATTTTCCTTATGTATTGCTTAGAATTTTGATGTGGCAAGGTTCCCACGAGCTTCCTCTTCAAGAGCTATAGCAGAAGGCGTAGTTCGCCAATTCCTAACCGCAGCAACAAAAACATTACCAATTCTCACAAACGGGTTTTTCCCATCATTTTATGCTAAATCGATAAGTCTCGGTTCCGAGCAAGAAAATAAACAGGGCAATAGCCATCAATAAACATGGAGTCCAAATCCAAGAACCCAATTGAGATTGTCTTGGATGTAGTTTAAGATTAAAAGTGTCACCAAGGTTCCCCCACACATTCCAAAATACCACCAATTAAAGAATGAACTTTTAGCTTGCATTCCTTGGATCTTGACCATCAAACTGATCCGCACCAAAGCCTGAACACAAGGCTTGTGCCCTCCCTGCCCAAGCGCTACCAAGTACAAAGAGAAGAAGAATAAAATTACTTGGAATGATAAGGAGAACATGAGTGATTTTATTTGTGTTTTGGCAATCGAATGTCAGGCAATGGCAACACAGCTGATAAAGTCAACAAGCCCAGTCCCTGTTAAAAATCATACAAATTCAGGTCAGTACAGTGAAAACGCAAATATGAAAGAAATTTGGTAAGAGAATGCACTCAACTTTTTCTCAGTAAATCAAAATAAATATTCATGGCATTTCTCCCACGAAATAAAATATAATATACTTTAGCGTTCAGCTTTCTTATGTCCGGTATTATTCAAAATCTAAATTCTTAACTAGCAAAAGAATTCCGATGATTTTCCAAACTTGCAATCAAAGTTTGTCTTCCAACTGGTGCAAATTGATAAAACAAATAAGCTAATAAAAGCATCTACGTATATTGAGCAGATTGTTTTTGAATAGTAATTAGCGAATTTATAATTTAATATGCCCCGGAAATTAAACCAACATTGCTGGTACATTGACATCATCACGGCATAAACTAACAAAACCGAAAACCTTGAAAGAGCACAAAACCCAGCAATAAACCCTTGCTTTCTAAACGCAAACTAATTTGAAAGCACTGTGTTGACAAAACAAATCATACAAAAGGTGCAAGATTTTAACTATGAAAATCTAAGCTTCACTATTCTACAGAAAAAAATAAAATAAAAGAAGAAGATGACTTGGCTTCCTCTGATCAATTTGGAAACATTATAGCTTTTATCAACCATGCTTAAGACTAAGACAAAATAAAACTAGAGAAAACAAATTAAAATAAAACTAAAGAAAACAAAGAATTCTCATCTTAAATCAACCAGCTTGACTTCAGGGTAGCAAAAAAAAAAAAAAAAAAAAAAAAAAAAAAAACCAGCTTTCTCCACGATGAAACAAATCCCACAATTGAGGAATGGAAGAAACTAACCAGAATGTAAGTAGGAGGGAGGCAACAACAATAGTACGGTACGTCCAAGAAAAGAATCAGCAACAAATGCTCCTAAAAGAGGCAGAAGCGTGCGTGCCTGACCAGGCGTTGACGTTCTCTGCGGCCGTGGCAGTGGACTGACCCAATGGCCCCGTCAAGTAGGTAATAAGGTTGGAACCAATCCCATAATAGGCGAATCTCTCAGCCATTTCAACAGCAATAATGAAAGATGCAGATCTCAGCGGCCAGAAGTGCGTCTGTTGGCTGGCGGCCTTTGCAGTCGACGGACCCATCAATTCTGTCTTCAAGAAGCGGAGTTGCTGCGTCGGGAGAAGTAGGAACGGCGGCCATCATCTAAGACCAAAATCTAATTGGAGGAATAAAAATGATATCTTTATATCTTGGTACATGTGGTAACGGTGATGCTGATTCCTTGATTTTGTTTTTTGGTTTTCTTTGTTTTGTTGTTATTGGATGTCAGATTCGCTGGCTTTTTCATGTTTTCAAGTAAAAGATTTTGGTTGTTTGAAGATATTTGTTATGACCATCAATTTTATCTCGGTGTCCGAAAACATTTGATTAAATCAAACATATAAACTAGTTGATATATATTGTATGGACTTATGGGTATTAGGGCTAACATGGTAAAATGTGACGTCACGTGAGTCATCCAATATCCATTCCATAATAATGGTCCAATAGGAAATAAAGGCCTAAAACAAGCCTAAAGTAGGCCTCACCGGCTCAGCCCAAGAGGGGCGGGGGACCTAGGTGGCAGAAGACTCCGACGTGAGAGTCCAGCTCCTAGGCAGGGATGTAATAACCTTGACCCAGGCTGGGCTCATTGGGCTCGGCCCGGGTTTCTTTTCGAAAATCCAAGCATGGGTTTTGAATTCGGGCTTCAAACTGATGTCAAGAGGGTTTTTTTTTTGAAATTTTACTTTATAAGAGTGATCCAGTTATACAGGGGGTTGTTGGTTATTTAATATATTTGCTCTAAACGAAGAATTAACCCAGATTGGAACCAAATTGAAAAGATTAATTCTGTACTCAAAAGGTCAAAACACTGGAAACTATTCTAACTATTTACTAAGCCGGTAAAATAGGAGATGTCTCTGGTGTTAAGTGACATCGAACAAGTGTGGCCTATTGAAGGATATACCGAACAAGAGTTAACGGGTTGTGTTAGACCTCTGTAAAAACAACCCAGATATTCGAGAAGAGTATCTGACTTGGCTAGGTGTAAAGCGACTTTTGGATGCTATTCAAAAGGCTTTTAGTCAAGGGTGCACAAGATTTGTGTTTTATTTGCCGGATTTCCACCATTGAAGTCTCTGAGCTAGAGCTTCGGAATAAGTGGTTGGAAAAAGCTGAGGCGGTAATTCCTTACTGGTACGGCGAATCCCAGCTGGATCCAGATCCTACATCATATAAAGAGTCAGACTTTGCAACTGAGTTGAGACCTGATTCAGATTAACCATGGGTGGTCAGGATGTTTTGGATCAGTTCGCAGCTAGTTTGCAAGCAAAATATCTCGGATTGCCTCCAGGATATGCACAGTTTGTGGCCAAAGAAACCCAAGGTGATTGGGAAAAGGCAGAAAAACTCTTTATGAAAGGTGTCAAGGAAGAAGATTTTGTTTCTAAAATGGATGGAAAACGGAAGGTTGATATTCCGGAAATTTCTCCCTCGAATGCTGAGCGAATTAGCAGGTATTATGAGGAAGAAATGAAGAAACAAAGGAAAGGAGACGAAACTGGAGGATTTAAACCAATTCCAAGTCCAGGTCCTAAAAAGGCGGAGCTCGATGAGCTAATCTCGAAACTTAGGGAATCTGAGTTTAAAGATGATCCCCTTGAAGGAATTCGTAATCCTTTAAATTCTTTCGAAGGATTCCTTAAGGAAATCTCTAAACCCGAATATAAACAAACTTATCCCACGAGGATAAGGTCGGAGTTTATGCCTCGGGGAGTACCTAGAATGGTGGAGATACCGTCTAGCGGAAGTTTCCTAAACATCGATTGTGTTACGAATGTAACAGATGCAATCGAAGCATGGGAAACTGTTAACTGGGTTCATATCCAAAACAAGAATTTTGGACTCAGTGATACTTACAGATTTCTAAGATCTACACTGCAGGGAGCTGCAGGAAGCTTTTGGAGAAGTCTAGAAGCTGGTACGGGTCTGTTAGATACTGTAGGTGACTTGAAGAATAGAGAGGCTATCTTTGCACTCTTCAAGGATATGCTTTGTCGAGAATTTATTGGATTACTATTACCAGTAGGAATCTCGCAGAGGTAGCTGCCTTAGAAGCTTTAACAGGCCCAATTGAGAATGCTACTAGAAGGGTTCGATTTAACCCATCTACCAAAGCAGGCTTTAATGGAAGGAACTATTGATCTTCTATGGTTGGTCTTAGCCCACGAAAGGAAGCCCAAGAAGATACGACTCTAAAAGATTTTATTGATCTTATAGAAGTGGATAACTTTAAGGATTGATAAAATCTGGAAGATGGAAATTTAGACAACCGGAAATGTCCAACACGTAATACGCTGACGTGTATCCAACAGGCGGAAATAATACGTGGACCGTCAAGATTTTGCCGACGAAATTTAACGCAGCATATTTAAAGGCAATCTTGAATATTGTGTCATATGTAATACGTTACATGTGTAATAAGTTAGTTTGTTTTAAACATGAGAGACATGTGGACCCCATGACATTTTCTATATTTTCTTTTAGTTACATGTGTATGTTTATTAGGCTAAAAGTCAAATCACATGTTTTGTGATTGACATTGTGATTTGTAAAATTTTATCTTATCTACGGATTCAAAATTTTTGAAATCTGAACTTCTCTATATAAAGAGAAGCTTTGTACATTTGTAATCAGAGAAAGTTAATAATATTTTTAGTTTTGAAAAATTCTCTCGATCTCTTGTTTACTTCTAATTGTATACCCGAGACAAGAAAAAATGATCTATTCCAGACAATCGATATCCGGGTATGAATTAATGAGTTAAACTGAATCTATGAATTTTCTCTTCAATTAATTAACTAGGTTGTTTAATAATTAATTATAATAATATTTGTAAGACTGGGTATTACAAATATTATGTGGGGGTTTCACGTAATTTTAGATAGGAAGTTATATGTATTTTCACAAAACTTCTAAGATATACCTGGGCCTAAGCTTTCCTGGTAGAACCCGAGCTTGATTTTCCAAGCCTGTACTAAGGGTGTTATATATGCCAAGGCCAGGCCTAATACAGGCTAGGTTTTTATCTTAGGCCGTCAAAATAGTATCATCGAGTTGGCCTTATAAGAACATATTGCTTGCTCCATTTATCAAAGTTTTACCACTAATCCTAAACAAAGGTGAGGAAAGAGCATGACGAATGTAAAACACAGCAAATAAAATTTAGCAAGTTATCAAGTCAATACAAATATGATCATCTCCAAATTCAAAGATCTATCTAGCTTTCATGGTAAAATATCATATTTTCGTTGTAATTTCATTATTATGTTTCGATCCCTTAAATAATGCATCAAAATATATATTTTTGAAATGTTTATAATCTAATATATTAATGATGACCTCAATATTTATCTTTCTAAGTATATAAAAAGATATACAAACTTTAAAATTTAAAGTTAATTTCATATATATATTTGATAATTTTTCAAATACTAAAAAAAAAAAAAACCTAATTAACATTATCTTCCCTCTTATAAATGTAAGACTTAGAAGAATGCAAATAGGCAGCTAAACCTAATGCACTAAGTCCAGCAAGTAACCAGTAAAAGTAATCAAGATGTGCCTGATTCAGATTATTAGCAAACCAACTCTCTCTGCCTTCTCCACCTGTAGCTTTATTTATTATCGACACAAGAAAGCTGCTTAAAAAGCTCCCTACTCCAATTATGCTGAAATAAAGAGAGAGACCAAAACTCCTCAAATCTTTGGGCACTTGATCACAGAAAAACTCTTGAAGACCAACTATGGTGAACACATCTGCAAGCCCAAGCAAGAGATATTGAGGAATCAACCACCACACACTCATGGGAATTATGGCATTTGGCTCATCAACTAGTCCATATTCTTTAGCGGTTTCAAGCCTTTTCATTTCGACTAATGCTGCAATTACCATGGAAATGGTTGATAAAAGCATCCCAGTTCCGATTCTTTGAAGCATTGTGATTCCGGAGGGTTTCTGGGTTATTGCTCTTGCTATGGGAACAAACATGCGGTCGTAGATTGGCATGAGGAGGACGATGGAAACACCGATGAAGAATTGAAGCGAAGCTGATGGAATTACGAAGCCTTTGAAAATTGTTCTGTCCATGGTTGCTCCTTGCTTTGTGAAGAAAGTGGTGGACTGAGCAAACACAATGGCATATCCCAAGCTTGTGACCCATATGGGTGCAAGCCTTAATAATGCCTTGGCATCTTCAACATCATTCAGGCTGCACATTTTCCCATCTTCCAACGAATCATCTTTTTCATCTAAAGCTTTGTTGAGGAACCTGGATCAAAGAAGTATTATTTCAAAGGAGATTTTATCTATTAAATTGTCATCCGACCAAGGACTAGTCAGGAATTTTTTCTTACTTGAATTGTGTCTAAAAATATTTAGAAAATTGTATTTAAAAATCCATTTACCATTAATGCTAATAGAGTTATTTCTCTTACTTGAATTGCTGAGAATTGTTTTGTTGAGGGAGGATAGCTCGAGCTTCATGATCTTCACTACCCATCACTAAAGAAGAAGTTTTCCAATTCTTAGCTGCTGCAACGAACACTCGACTGATTCTTCCAAATGGATTTTTCTCATTCCTTTTAACAGTAAATCTATAGGTCTTAGTTCCAACCAAGAAAATAACAAGTGAAGCTACCATTACTGCACAGGGAACTCCAAATCCAAGGATCCAATTAATGTTGTCTTGAATGTAGACTACCACCACGAGAGACGACATGATAGCTATAGATAAACTGAAGTACCACCAATTGAAGAAAGAGCTTTTGGATTTGCTTTCTTCTGAGTTTTTTCCATCGAATTGATCGGCTCCGAATGCCATAAGGCAAGGCTTGTGCCCACCTTGCCCTACAGCAACGAGATATAGGGAGATGAAAAATATGACTGTTTGGGGAGAATATGATTCTGTGGAAAGATTGTTTTGGCCATTGACATTACTGAGAGATGTTAAGAAAGCCGAAAGCGTCAACAAGCTTAGTCCCTGCAATACATTAAAATTTTGACTAAAAAATTCGAACACATTTATGAAACCTACAACTACATTCCCTACTTTGGGGAGCACATGTATTTATTTTCATTAAATTCGTATTAATTTTTTTGAGGAGTAAACAACATGTTCCCGCACAAAATTAGTGAAATTACAATGTTCCACCCTTGGTTTCATTTATTCCAAATTTCCACCATTAAATTAACAAAAATAATTTAATATAACAGTTAAGGGTTATTTAGGTCTTTTTATCCAAAAATAATAAATCATATTTGTTAGGGCCAAAAATCGTCTGGAGCTTGACGAGACTCAATAACGAAATAAACATATCAAGGCCCAAGGCCTCAATCCAATCCCGATTGGGCCTATGCTTAAAATCACATTGTGAGCTACCTACTCTATAAGTTGGGCTATCCTATAAGTTAAGCAAAACTAGGTCTCAGCCCATTAGCCTGCAACAATCTATAAGTAGAAAATCAGAATCCTATTCTATGTCCTCTTCTACTAATATTTCAAATCTTACTCAAACTATCAAACTTAATCTGATAAGGTCAAGAAATCATATCTCTTTCATGATAAGGATTACCCCCAAAATAGGACTTAGTGTCTTACTAAGATTCCAAATCTTATTTAAACTATTAAACTTAATCTGATAAGGTCAAGAACTCGTATCTCTTTCATGATAGGGATTATCTCTCAAAATAGGACTTAGTGTCCTACTAAGATTTCAAATCTTATTTAAACTATTAAACTTAATCTGATAAGGTCAAAAAATGATATTTTTTTCTTGATAGGGATTATCTCCCAAAAAAGAGGACTCAATGTCCTACTAGGATTCCAACCCCTTGGGTTCACTATAAAAACAGAGGCTTGCCCTCTCATTAGGCATGCAATCTCCCATAATCAATGTATACTACTCAAAACCATCTATTTGCTCCTAAAGTTCTTACTCCCAAGAACTCGATGCCTTCGCTGTAGTCCTAGCTTCCGACAAGACTCTTGGTAATTCTTCATCTCCTTAATTCATATCAAATAATCTCTTTCAGCCTTGCTGACTTAAGCGTCAGAGTGCCTACGGCAAACAGCACCCCGGTGTTTTCCGGAAGCTTCACGCTTGCCCTTTCATGTGTGCAAGTCTAGCAGATTGTCAGTGGCTTCAACCTTACGGGATTAGACCCTATTTTCATGACGGTAGATTTTTTGCATCTACAGTTTGGCACCCACCGTGGGGCCCTGACAATCATCTGCCAACGACGACTTACAACATGGGAGGCGACACAGAACTCCTTTTGATTGAAAATGTTAATTAGAAAATCCCATCACGATAAGAATTTTTTTTTTCTCTTCGTTTGTTTTATCTATTCACATGCCACATTATATCTATTCGGCATATCATAATTTATTTTATATTATATCCATTCAGTAGGTAGTATAAGACCTTGAAGCTCATATTATTGTTGTAAATTAATAATAAAATAATAATGTGTCAGAGTTTAAAGTGGTGTTCTTGAACCACTTGATTCATTGACTTTGCTTCAACAATCTCTCTTCTCTAATCCTTTGTTCAGATAAGGCAATAGCTTCTGTCTCTAACCTCTCTACACGCATTTTTTCACTTCAATCATCAAACCACCAGGTGGTCCGCCACCGTCATCAGAGCTTTGCAATGCATTATCCGCCATAAAACCAGTCAATTTGTTCATTCAAGAAGATGCCGCAATACGCCAGCATCTCCAAGACCTTCGCCCTATTAGAAGGTAACTCAAAACTCGACCAACCTTGATCCAATCCCAATTCAACTTCACTGAGATTTGCCATCACTTTGAAACCCAAAACTCGTCTACCTGTTCTCCTAAAATCGCCCTAACAGCTTCTCTAATCATACAGTTAAATCCTAAAAACACAGCAATAATTCTCTCAAAACATCCAAAGTCATCTACTAAACACGAAGAGAAACCCCCCAAACAAAACCTGCTTAAGTGACGCCACCCCACTCTCGTCTAATCTCCTTACCCCATCGTATTCCAAAACTCCAAACTCGAACCATCTCCCATTCCTAACCAATACATATCAACTCAAACCACCTTCACATCACAATCTCCAGCACACCTGTCACAAAAGCCTTCATGCTCCATGCTGTTTGCAAACTTTCCACTCCCCACTACAACTGAGCACCACTAAACAACATGAGTAGTCCACTCGATGATATTTGGGTCTGCACATACAATATCAACGTGCCCATTTGGTTCAACCCAAAAGTGAATCATGTGCCCACTCAACTTCAACTGGTTCAGCTCCGACATAGAAAGTAACACCCCTCTCTCCACTCAGTCCAGCAAGCATGGGTGGCAGCACTTGAAGGGGAAAAGTATGTGTCATTATCTCATTTTAACAACCACTCTATTTGGTTAGATCTTTCTTTATTCGGCCATTACTTAAATATATGTAGCCCATTTTTCCATTTAGCTCACTCTTCATTCAGTCCATAACACATGCACATAATGCATATTGACTCTCCATTTGGTTCTTTACTTAAAACATGCATGCCATGTATGCCACTACTCCAGCTTCAATCAAATGTTTTCAACTACAAAGTCGGTCACGCCGACTAGGCCACATAGCTTTCAAAGGTTTCAACTTTCAACTATAAGTCAGTCACGCCGACTCGACCGTAAACTCCATACAAGCTCCACTTGGCATACACCTTCGATTGGCCCAAACCGATTCATGAGTTTACACCTTTGATCAGCTTAGACCGATTCATGAGTTTACACCTTCGATCGACCCAGACTGATTAATGAGTTTACACCTTCAATCGGCTTAGACCGATTCATGAGTTTACACCTTCGATCGGTCTAGACCGACTCATGAGTTTACATCTTCGATTGGCCTAGACCGATTCATGAGTTTACATATTCGATCGGCCCAGACTGATTCATGAGTTTACACCTCCGATCGGCCCAGACTGATTCATGAGTTTACATATTCGATCGGCCCAGACCGATTCATGAGTTTACACCTTCGATCGGCCCAGACCGATTCATAAGTTTACACCTTCGATCGGCCCAGACCGATTCATGAGTTTACACATTCGATCGGCCTAGCTCGATTCATGAGTTTACACCTTCGATCTGCTCAGACCGATTCATGAGTTTACACCTTCGATCGACCCAGACCGATTCATGAGTTTACACCTTCGATCGGCTCAGACCGATTTATGAGTTTACATATTCGATCGGCCCAGAACGATTCATGAGTTTACACCTTCGATGGCCCAGACTGATTCATCAGTTTACACCTTCGATCGGCTCAGACCGATTCATAAGTTTACAAGTTTGATCAGCCTAGACCGACTTATAAGTCTACACTTTCGATCGGCCTGGGCCGATTCATGAGTTTACACCTTCGATTGGCTTAGACCGATTCATGAGTTTACACCTTCGATCGGCCTAGGCCGATTCATGAGTTTACACTTTCGATTGGCTTAGACCGATTCATGAGTTTACATCTTCGATCAGCCCAGACTGATTCATGAGTTTATACCTTCGATTTGCTCAAACCGATTCATGAGTTGATACCTTCGATCAGCCTAGACCTATTCATAAGTTTACACCTTCGATCGGCCCAAACTGATTCATAAGTTTACACCTTCGATTGGCCTAGACCGATTCATAAGTATACACCTTCGATTGGCCCAGACCAATTTATAGATTTACACATTCAATCGGCCCAGACCGATTGAAGGACTTGCACCTCAAATCGATAAGTCATCGACCCAATCCACACAAAGATCCATCCGACCTAATGAGCTGTTATCACTAATCCGCTCAGTCTGCACTCATTCGATTAGATCTTCTCTCTAGGCTAAATACTCTTTAACTTAGAGAGTGGGGGCTTAACTGTTAGGGCTAAAAATTGTCTTGGGCTTGACGAGGCACAATAACGAAATAAACATGTCACGGCCCAAGGCCTCAACCCTATCCCAATTGGGCCTACGCTTAAAATCACCTTGTGAACTACCCACTCTATGAGTTAGAATATCCTATAAGCTAAGCTAAACTGGGTTTCAACCCATTAGCTTGCAATAGTATATAAATAGGAAATCAGAATCCCATTCTATTTCCTCTTCTACTAAGATTCCAAATCTTACTCATACTATCAAACTTAATCTAATAAGGTCAAGAAATCATATCTCTTTCATGATAGGGATTATCTCCCAAAATAGGACTTAGTGTCCTACTAAGATTCCAAATTTTATTTAACTTATTAAACTTAATCTGATAAGGTCAAAAAATTATATCTCTTTCATGATATGGATTATCTCCCAAAATAGGACTTAGTGACCTACTAAGATTCCAAATCTGATTTAAACTATTAAACTTAGTCTGATAAGGTCAAGAAATAATATTTCTTTCTTGATAGAGATTATCTCCCAAAAAAGAGGACTCAATGTCCTACTAGGATTCCAACCCCTTGGGTTCACTATAAAAACAGAGGTTTGCCCTCTCATTAGGCATGGAATCTCCCATAGTCAATCTACGTTACTCAAAACCATCTATTTGCTCCTAAAGTTCTTACTCCTAAGAACCCGACACCTCCACCGTAGTCCTAGCTTCCAACAAGATTCCTGGTAATTCTTCATCTCCTTAATTCTTATCAAATAATCTCTTTCAGCCTCGCTGACTTGAGCGTCAGAGTGCCTACGACAAACACCACCCCGATGTTTTCAGGAAGCTTCACGTTTGCCCTTTCATATGTTCAGGTCTAGCGGATTGTCAGTGGCTTCAACCTCACGGGATCAGACCCTATTTTCATGACGGTAGATTTTTTGCATCTACAATATCTATATCAAAATTTTGTGCAAACGCCACCCTTCCTCTTTGCCTCCAAATCCACCACCAACACCAATAACTTTAATCCACAGCACGAATACACTTCAAACTCCCAACAAACTGTATTTAATCAACTTCACCAATCAAATCTTAATCGAAAAAACAAACCTTGTTACGCAAAGGCACTCGAGATGTATTCGGCGGCAGTTGGACGGTGAGGTTGACTTAGGGGTGCATGGGGATGAGAGCGGGAGGTGCGGGGTGATAAGGCGCAATGACCTTCTTTGCACGCGCAAGCATCACACGAACTGCCATTCGCGAATGGGTTTTGCTGCGACAAAGGAAAGGTGGTGGGTTGGTTTTAGGTGGGGTTGTTGCGGGGGAACTTCAAAAGTCGCCGGCGACAATGGGAGTAGCGAAGGAACTGCGATGGCGCGTCAATGAGGCGGGAGTGGTGAAGGAACTTCAAAATGGTTTGTTCTTCACTTTTGGTTTCTTTGATTTGATTTTTGGAGTTGTTTGGGAGTGATTTTGCAGGAGGTTTTGTTTGGCCATTGATTGAAGTTGATTTGTTGCATTTTGGGAGATTAGATTGTTGAAAAAACGACCATTTTCCACTCACCCATTGGCACCCACCATTTGTTTGCAAAAAAGCCACAACCAACGGTGTCTGTGTGGCGGTAGTGGCAGTGGAGATGAGGAGGGGAAGATGAAGAAGAAGAAGGGAGGGTAATTTGGTAATTGTACCCCTACATATTTAGAGTTCATTGATTGTGTTACTTTAAGGGTGGGGATTTGGAATAAATGAAACTAAGGGTGAAAACTTGCCTGGGTGGGAACATGTCCTTTGCTCTTTTTTTGAGTGATGGTATTGCTCTAACCTTTTATCTTACTAGACCCCTTTTCATCTTTTCTCTCCTTTTTTTTTTTTTTTTTTAAAAATAATTCTAGTTTTATCCTTTTATAAAATGACTAATTTGGACAAATTAAAAATAGCAAGTATAATCAAGATATGCAATTATTAGAATATCCCTAATTTCCACTCCAAATAAAACCTTGTTTTAGATTAATTTTTTTTCAATGCGTACTTCATTATTTTGACTTAAACTTATTTTCTTTTTTAATTATTAAAAAAAAAACCGTAGGGATTAAAAAAAACTCAATAATTTGATGAAGGAGGACAAAGTTGACATTATAAAATGTGATTTAAGTATTTTCCTTTTCGGTTGAAAGTAATTTGACCCGCAAATTTTTCGAATAATATTGATGCAATGACAATTATACCCTCAATACCAACAGTGTCATACAAGTTAATAATAGAAAAACTGGGAAAGTTGATACACCAAGAAAGGACATTTGCGTCTTTACACATTGTCAAAAATGTTTGGGCAGAAAGTCACATTTTAGATCCCGTAAGCCAAGTTTTTTTCTTTTGACAAAGACCAAATATCAATCATATTTAAATCCAATAAAATATAAATAACATTAGGCATTCCTAAAAATATTTTAAAATTCTCATCTCAAGTGATATAAAATCAAAATATAGTAATAATTTAATAAATATTTTAATTTTCGAGATTTGTACCGTTACTCATAAAATAAAATAAAAAAATGTGACCTTACTTTAATACTGTTAAAATAAAAGAAGAAATAAAATAATTGCTCAATGCCTTTCACGCTTATAATTTATACCAAAGAAAATAATTTGTATTTACGTTCACGCAAGAAAGAAACCCCTCTATTCTTCACCAAATCAAACTTTTGTTGACTCATAAATAATTGCGAAGAGTATATTTTTATCAACAACTTCTTCAAATTCTCTTAGCAATTCATAAAAATGTACAGTAAATATCTCCCCAGAGTAGTTGCAGATGCAGGCGAAAGAGAGAGACAAAAGAGAAAGGAGAAACTAACCAAGATGTAGATGAGGGAAGCAAGAAGGATGGTATAATATCTCCCAAGAAAAGAATCAGCTACAGCCCCTCCTAGAAGAGGAATAAGCGTGGCAGTGCCAGACCACAAGTTCACATTCTCAGCAGCCGTCGCCGTGGACTCACCAAGAGGCCCCGTTAAATATGTTATAAGATTTGATAGTACTCCATGATAGGCAAATCTCTCCGCCGCTTCAGTCCCTGAAATAATAATTAATTCTATCTTATCAAACACATGTAATAAATACTGCTTCTTCTTAATCACTCATGAGTAAAGTTATGTTAATTACCTATAATGAAAGAGGCTGATCTCCAGCCGCCGGAGTTGAATCTGGAGACCCGACGGCCTCTGTAGTCGACAGACCCATCTACAGTTTCTTCTGAAAGTAGAGTTTCTGTGGCCATGAGTGGATCAGAGCCAAAGTTTATGAGACTTTTTAGAGATTCATTGGAGTGGTTGTTTCTGTTATTGGGTTAGCGTTTGGCAAATGGTGTTTTCTTTAAAAAGAATATTGTATTGAAGTCACCACGTTTGGGAATCAACATATTCTAAGATAAAGAAGACTACATTTATTTTCCTAAAGGATGTGATTTTTGACCTCCATTAATGAAAATATGTGATTTGTTTGACCTTAATAAAAATGATTAGGAATGACATAATAATTTCTAAATACACTTATATTCTAGTTTATATTTTCAACTTTTAATTCTTACATAAACCCAAACTTTATATTTTCTAAATCATTGAAACAATTTATTTATTTCTTTTTCCCAAATATCTCTTTGTTTGATGAAAATATATTATTAAAGTTATAGAAAAAGTAATAAAACAACAGTATGAATTTGAATTTCAATCTAAAGAAGAAAAAGGTAAAGAGAAGTGGTATTAACAAAAATCTTAAATTAAGTTTGAAATTGGGAAAATAGGTGCAAACAAGATATCAAATTAAGTAGGACTATTTTCGGTATTAAATGAAATTTAAAGAGAAACTTTTAACAGTAATAGAGGTGTATGAGAATGCTTCTAAATTTGATGGGGCTAAAAATTACTTCATTCTTCCTAAACTTATCATACTTAATCTCTTTTTATAATGCTTCATTTATTAAGAGTTACGATTTTAGCCAAGGGTAGTCATTTTCAGCCCTCACTTTGACAAATTTAACCTTAAGTAAAATTACTATAAAGGATATTACAAATTCTAGGTACACCCCTACTTTATTTTACATCTTCCTTCCATTTATTTTTTATAACATTTAAAACTCATAGTGTATCATTTTAAATTACTTTTCACTTCTCTATCTTATTTATATTTTTTGGTTAAATCCAGATATGATTTTTCATATCTTCATCTTTTTCCTTTTTTTTTACAATTATCTACCTTAAGTATGTTAGTTCTTCTTAAACTTAAAGTTATAAACTCACTGTGGAGTTCCTAGGAATTCTTCTAGGAATACATATCTTTGTACTCAATAGTTGCCGGTTGATGGAAGAAGTAAGGAAAATATATTTTAGTAATTAAAATATTGAGTTTAGGAGACTTAAAAGGGAAAAAAATTTAAGTCTAAAAGGGTAGTTTTGGTATTAAGTCTAAAAGGACAATTTTGGTATTAAGCGGGGTTCAAAAAGAGATTTTAAAATATAAATATAGTGTACTTAATCATGGGGGTTACTATTACTAGTCGATTATACGAGGGCTAAGATGACTTTCCATCTATAACTATAAGAGTTCCAGTCACAACCATAGGAGGATTTTGTCAAGCAATTGGGCTAATAAAATGGGCTTGGGCCCAATCGCAAGGCAAATATCTAAATAGTGAAGCTGTTCCAAATTTTATTTAACTTATTAAACTTAATCTGATAAGGTCAAAAAATATCTCTTTCATGATATGGATTATCTCCCAAATAGGACTTAGTGACTACTAGATTCCAAATCTGATTTAAACTATTAACTTAGTCTGATAAGGTCAAGAAATATATTTCTTTCTTGATAGAGATTATCTCCCAAAAAAGAGGACTAATGTTCTACTAGGATTCCAACCCCTTGGGTTCAACTATAAAACAGAGGTTTGCCCTCTCATTAGGCATGGAATCTCCATAGTCAATCTAGTATTCAAAACCATCTATTTGTCCTAAAGTTTTTACTCTAAGAACCCGACACCTCCACCGTAGTCCTAGCTCCAACAGATCCTGGTAATTCTATCTCCATATCTATCAAATAACTCTTTCAGCCTCGCTGACTTGAGCGTCAGAGTGCCTACGACAAACACCACCCCGATGTTTTCAGGAGCTTCACGTTTGCCCTTTCATAGTTCAGGTCTAGCGGATTGTCAGTGGCTTCAACCTCACGGGATCAGACCCTATTTTATGACGGTAGATTTTTTGCATCTACAATATCTATATCAAAATTTTGTGCAAACGACACCTTCCTCTTTGCCTCCAAATCCACCACCAAACACAATAACTTTAATCCACAGCACGAATACACTTCAAACTCCCAACAAAATGTATTTAATCAACTTCACCAATCAAATCTTAATCGAAAAAACAAACCTTGTTACGCAAAGGCACTCGAGATGTATTCGGCGGAGTGGACGGTGAGGTTGACTTAGGGGTGCATGGGGATGAGAGCGGAGGTGCGGGGTGATAAGGCGCAATGACTTCTTTGCACGCGCAAGCATCACACGAACTGCCATTGCGAATGGTGGTTTGCTGCGACAAAGGAAAGGTGGTGGGTGTGTTTTAGGTGGGGTTGTGCGGGGGAACTTCAAAAGTCGCCGGCGACAATGGGAGTAGGCAAGGAACTGCGATGGCGGTCAATGAGGCGGGATGGTGAAGGAACTTCCAAATGGTTGTTCTTCACTTTTGGTTTCTTTGATTGATTTTTGGAGTTGTTTGGGAGTGATTTTGCAGGAGGTTTTGTTTGGCCATTGATTGAAGTTGATTTGTTGCATTTTGGGAGATTAGATGTTGAAAAAACGACCATTTTCCACTCACCCATTGGCACCCACCATTGTTTGCAAAAAAGCCACAACCAACGGTGTCTGTGTGGCGGTAGTGGCAGTGGAGATGAGGAGGGAAGATGAAGAAGAAGAAGGGAGGGTAATTTGGTAATTGTACCCCTACATATTTAGATGTCATTGATGTGTTACTTTAAGGGTGAGGATTGGAATAAATGAAACTAGGGGTGAAAACTTGCCTTTTCGCCACTTTTGGGTGGGAACATGTCCTTTGCTCTTTTTTTGAGTGATGTATGCTCTAACCTTTTATCTACTAGACCCTTTTCATCTTTTTTTTTTTAATTAATAATTTAGTTTTATCCTTTTATAAAATGACTAATTTGGACAAATTAAGAATAGCAAGTATAATCAAGATATGCAATTATTAGAATATCCCTAATTTCCACTCCAAATAAACTTGTTAGATTATTTTTTCAATGCGTACTTCATTATTTTAACTTAAACAAATGTGAAAGTATTTTCCTTTTCGGTTGAAAGTCATTTGACCGGCAAATTTTTCAAATAATATTGATAAAACATATTCGATCGGCCCAGAACGATTCATGAGTTTACACCTTCGATGGCCCAGACTGATTCATCAGTTTACACCTTCGATCGGCTCAGACCGATTCATAAGTTTACAAGTTTGATCAGCCTAGACCGACTTATAAGTCTACACTTTCGATCGGCCTGGGCCGATTCATGAGTTTACACCTTCGATTGGCTTAGACCGATTCATGAGTTTACACCTTCGATCGGCCTAGGCCGATTCATGAGTTTACACTTTCGATTGGCTTAGACCGATTCATGAGTTTACATCTTCGATCAGCCCAGACTGATTCATGAGTTTATACCTTCGATTTGCTCAAACCGATTCATGAGTTGATACCTTCGATCAGCCTAGACCTATTCATAAGTTTACACCTTCGATCGGCCCAAACTGATTCATAAGTTTACACCTTCGATTGGCCTAGACCGATTCATAAGTATACACCTTCGATTGGCCCAGACCAATTTATAGATTTACACATTCAATCGGCCCAGACCGATTGAAGGACTTGCACCTCAAATCGATAAGTCATCGACCCAATCCACACAAAGATCCATCCGACCTAATGAGCTGTTATCACTAATCCGCTCAGTCTGCACTCATTCGATTAGATCTTCTCTCTAGGCTAAATACTCTTTAACTTAGAGAGTGGGGGCTTAACTGTTAGGGCTAAAAATTGTCTTGGGCTTGACGAGGCACAATAACGAAATAAACATGTCACGGCCCAAGGCCTCAACCCTATCCCAATTGGGCCTACGCTTAAAATCACCTTGTGAACTACCCACTCTATGAGTTAGAATATCCTATAAGCTAAGCTAAACTGGGTTTCAACCCATTAGCTTGCAATAGTATATAAATAGGAAATCAGAATCCCATTCTATTTCCTCTTCTACTAAGATTCCAAATCTTACTCATACTATCAAACTTAATCTAATAAGGTCAAGAAATCATATCTCTTTCATGATAGGGATTATCTCCCAAAATAGGACTTAGTGTCCTACTAAGATTCCAANGCACCCCATAAATTCCTTAAAAGCCCTTCATTCCCTATTTTTTTTTTTAATATTTTAAAAGAGTTAAATTTTATTCCTTGCATTTATGGAATAAACTCCACCATCGTTATTCCTAAAATAAAATTTTAGATATTTAAATTGAAAATTCAAAAGAAATTAAAGCTAAAAAAAAATTATGTGAACTAATTAAAAACTTACAATTTTATATTTCTTGTAACCTGTTTTGTCCCATTGTAAATCTTTTTCCTTTATTAAAACTTTTTTTTGTTTTGAGAATGATTTGAATAACACAAAAGAAATTAGGGGTTTATGAGATAATAGTGGGGTGTCAAAAGCATTTGAAAGATTAGGAAATTAAAGTTAATATTAATATTTTAATTTAGGGATGAATTTGTCATTATATTATTCATTAAAAAGTGGAGCTTCTTTAGTTCATGAATGGAGTGTCAATAGATCCACTGACGTGTAAATTGTACTTTCTATTCTTTTAAGCAAGGCAATTGATGTCAATAGATCCACCTTGTTTAATTTGTATGGGATAATTCCTAGAAGGTGGATATTCCTTGTAATTTGAAGGTAACGGTTGCACCATTTATGATATTGGTAGAAAACAACATTGTTCAAGGAAATGAGCTTCTAATTTTCCGAGAGAAAGACTTTATCCACTTTGAAGTTTCTGTCAACTATGGTTTATGTTCTCTGTTTTAAAATACTAGGATTTACCCTCTTTAATTTAACAAACGTTCATATAATCAATTTAGTTGGAATAATTTTTCTGTTTAAAGACTAGAATGCTCTTCATTTTGATATTTTCCCAGTTTAAAAAGTCTAAGCTCCGTTTGGTTCACTATTCTGGTGCTTTTTAAAATAATATTTTGAAAAAAAGTAAAAGTTGAGTTATAAAATAGTATTTTGAGAAAGATAATTGTTAATTTTTTGAGTTGAATAAAGTAGGATTGGATATTAA